GGGGAAATGGTCAGAATAAAGCTGTTAAAAATGTAAATTATCAAATTAAAAAAGCACAGTTGCATTTAGGCACACCCCATGAGCTACATGTAGAAAACACTGGCGAATTAAACTCCTTAGGAGGCTGTGTTAGTGAGCAGCTAAAAAATGACTTGTGAATAGCATAGCTGCTCTAGGTAACCACCTCGCAGAGTAAATATATTAAATTTAATTAGTCGTGCTACGAATTTTTCTACAACCCCATCCCCCTAATATAAGTTCTGAAACTTTATCCCCCTAATAGATACCACGAAGATTCAAAGTTCACAAATGGAGGGTTTTACTCAATCCAAATATACTTCTGATCTGTTTTATAAGGACTTAGAAGTGTTGCCACTGAAAAGGTCATTCTAGCTTTTAAGTTCTGAAACTTTATCCCTTCCAATACTGGTAGGAAGTTTATAAAACAAAAAACAGACATTGTGAGTGACAGATCCCGACTTCTAAAATGAATGAAAATGTTCTACCAAGTACAAAAAACAAAGTTCTCAGTACAGTAGAGTCATTTTAAAACTAGGAAGGCTTTTCCCGACCCTCTTAAGGTTAAATCAGGTGCTGCTACTATCTATGCTCACCCATTTTTCTTTGGCAGAGAACTTATCCACTGGTAGTATAAATCCTGGATTGTAGACTGACTGTAAGCCCTATGAGGACAAAAACTGTATTTACAAGCTTCCACAGTATTATACGTTTACATGTACTTATATACATACTGTATATAAATTTTTACATATACTTACATACATATATTTATATGTGTGCATAAACCTGCACTCGCCTAAAACTGTATAAGTTATTTTGGATATTTCTTTTCAAGAATCCTCTTACACCCACTCAGTTCCATGTCTGTGATGTTTGCCATTTGTTCCCTGACCAGTCACCTAATACACACAGAGGGTGCCAAAAAATGTATACATTTTAAGAATGGAAAAAACTATATTAAAATTATGATACTCAATATATAGTGATCACAAAAGATGAATACAAATCACGTATGACTTCTGTGATTACAAGAGGTGCTCAAAGTGGCTACCATCAGCGTCCAGATACTTCTCATGAAGGTGAACAACTCTTAACATCTCTTAAAATATGTATACTTTTTTTGGCGCCCCTGGTATTTGTTGAATGAATGCCCATAGCCCAGTAGTATCAGGCTCAAATAATTTGGTGAACTAATGAGTCAATTTTCTAAAGCACACTAAGCTTTAGAAAAGTTTTTTTCCCACAGCTGCTTGCGTGTTTATCCAGCTCCTAAAGGATAAGAGTCATTCTAACCTGGCCAAATAGACCAGACTCTGTGACTTAAAACTTGCAAAGTTAATCTCAGACACTTGAGCATGTGATATTCTTATTTTGGGGGTTCCTCAACTCTACCCATCCCTGAATGGACTTCCAAAAATTAGACAGACACATTCCTTGCCTAAAGAATGTACATCCTCTATGAGAACATCTCATTTTCTCTGTTAAGTATATTTAGGAGGATTATAAAAAGAACTAAGAGAGGTGGAAGAACACCTACTATTTAGTGTTTCAGATCAGCTCAATCTATACAGGCCACCAATGGAGAGAGAAGTCTGGTCTTATGTCTCCCTTAAACAAATTCTACTCTCAAAAAGATAGTAGGCAAAAGAAAAAAAAAAATCAACGGAAAGATTGTAAGACAAATTATTTTAACCGAAAACCCATCACATAATAAAACTCACACAGTGTCTAAATTCAATAATTATCATTACTGACTAGTTGTTAAATAACCACTAAGAAGAGAGCGATCTCATTTGTGAATTAACATCCTCGTCACTCAAATATAGACCATATGGGCAAACAAGAAAGGAATTTAAAGGGAGTTTGGTTGAAGCCATGCTCACTTACACTGGGACCATATTTAGTAACTTCACAAAAACAGCTGAAGCCTTAACTCCTGTGAAACAATGTTTCGAGGCGTGTCATTCACCAGAGCTCTGTTGTAGATCTTGAGTTCATCAGCCCCCTCTCTGGCTGATCAGATTTTCCAGCTGGGCTGGATCCTTCCTTCCTTCCTTCTCTCAGTGCTGCCCCTGTGAGCATTCCGGATTCCCTCCGAAAGGGGTTTCCCCAGCCCCACCGGGCCAATCCCGACCCTGCAAGGCTCCTTGTCCAGGGCTGCTGACCGGCCAGAAAGGAAGCAGCATGCTGGCCTGCGCTCACTAGAGATAATTAATCTCACGCTAATCTGAATCGCAGTGTTGATTAGTAACACAATTTTGCCACCCCTCTTGGACTCTCCCATAATATAGTTATTTGGAAATGCATACTTCTATTTTTTAATTTTTAATTTTTTTTTTTAAGTTGGAGTCACTCTGTCCCCCAGGCTGGAGTGCAGTGGCACATTCATGGCCACCGCAACCTCGACCTGCTGGGCTCAGGTGATCCTTCTGCCTCAGCCTTCCAAGTAGCTGGAACCACAGGTGTACACCACCATGCTCAGCCAATTTTTAAAAAATTTTTTAAAATTTATTTATTTTTTGAGTTGGAGTCTCACTCTGTCGCCCAGACTGGAGTGCAGTGGCCACTCCTGGCCACTGCAGCCTCGACCTGCCGGGCTCCGGCGATCCTTCCGCCTCAGCCTTCCAAATAGCTAGAACTACAGGCGCGCGTTACCACGCCCGATTTTTAGAGAATGAGGTCTCGCCAAATTGCCCAGACGGGTCTTGAACCCACGGGCTCAGGCAACCCACTCACCTCGGCCTCCCAAGACGCGGGATTACAGGCTGAGCCACCGAGCCCGGCTTAAAAATTTATTTATTGATTGACTGACTGATTGTAGAGACGAGGCCTCACCAAGTTTCCCATGTTGGTCTTGAACCCCTGGACACAGGCAATCCTCTCGCCTCTGCTTCCCAAAGTGCTGGGATTACAGGCGTGAGCTACTGCACCCAGCGGAAATGTACACTTCTAAATGTGTGGATAACCATGGTGGCAATAAGGTCCAAGGTCTTGGTTCCGTTTTATTTCTGATTCTTGGCTCTACAAACCTAAATCTGGATTAGAGTCCCCTGCATAGGTTCTTAGAGTTTGTTGAAAATAGTAAAGTAGAGAAGTGGGACAGGGGATAAGTGATCAGACAGCTCTAGAAAAATACCTGAAGAGGAATTCCACTTGTAAAAAAAAATTTTTTTGTTTTGGAGTCAGGGTCTCACTCTGTCACAATCACAAGCTCACTGCAGCCCTGACCTCCTGGGCTCAGGTAATCCTTCTGCATCAGTCTCTCAAGTAGCTGGGACTATAGGCCAGCCCCACCATGCCTGGCTAATTTTTTGTTTATTGTAGAGAAGAAGTCTCACCATATTGTTCAGGCTGGTCTCGAATTCCTGGGCTCTCGCAATCCTCTACCTTGGCTTCCCAAAGAGCCAGGATTACAGGTATGAGCCACCACCCCCGGCTCCACTTGCAAAATTCTTCTTGGGCTCTCTAATCACTCAGTTCCTTCCAGGATAGCCACCCCAAATCTTAGATCCTCACTCAGGATCTCCAGGCAGCAGGTCCCCTGCCTTCTGTATTCAGAGTCCTTCTGCTCCAATCAGGCACAATTCTGTTCCATCTCTGGGTCTTTCTTTCCCAAGTCCCTAAGCCTGGAGGGTTCTGCATTCCTCTGGTTGTATGTGTAGAAACACTACTTCCTTCCAAAGCTTACAATGTGTAATCGGTCTCCCTCTAAGACGCTTTCCTTCACTACCTTTTGTCCAAATCTAGTGCCAACCTCCTTCCTTCTTCCATCCACCTTGTAAGATCTGTGTTAAATGCACTTTTATTTGGTAATTTTTCATTGTGTTTTGTGTCTAATTCTCATTTGCTTTCCATAGGTAGTGATAATCACCTTGGCTATTTCATAACCTTATAATCTAATATAGTTTTTTTGTTTTTTTTGTTTGAGTTGGAGTCTCACTCTGTCGCCCAGACTGGAGTGCAGTGGCCGCTCCCAGTCACCGCAGCCTCGACCTGCTGGGCTCCGGCGATCCTTCTGCCTCAGCCTTCCAAGTAGCTGGAACTACAGGCGCGCACTACCATGCCTGGCTAATTTTTTTGATTTACTGTAGAGATGAGGTCTCGCCAAGTTGCCCAGCCGAGTCTCGAACCCGTGGGCTCAGACAATTCATTCGCCTCGGCCTCCCAAAGTGCGGGATTACAGACTGAGCCACCAAGCCTGGTCTAATATAGTTTTTTAAACAACACCTAAAGAATTGGTTTCAACCATATAAAAATACTGTTTTTTTGTTTGTTTGTTTGTTTGAGTCAGAGTCTTATTCTGTTGCCCAAGCTGGAGTACAATAGCACGATCATGGCTAAACATTGCCTCGACCACCTGGGCTCCGGGGATCCTTCCTCCTCAGCCTCCCAAGTAGCAGAGACTATAGGTGTGTACTACCACAGCCGGCTAATTTTTAAATTTTTTGTAAAGGCAAGGTCTTGATACATTGCCTAGACTGGTCTTGAACTCCTAAGTTCAAGCAATCTTCCTGCCTTGGCCTTCCAAAATGCTGGGATTACAGGCATGAGCCAATGCACCCAGAAAAAAAAAAAAGCTGTTTTTAATCGATCAAAAAAAGTCAAATAACAGTGTTATAGGGTTCAACTGAATACTTCTATTGGAACTCAGTAAATGCTCTGAAATAAGTATGTATTGCTGTCACCTTCTACCATAGGACAATTATCTAGACACTGACCCACAATGTCTCCCAAATGACCCACAATGTCTCCCAATGACCCACAAAGTCTCCCAAAACTTGTAAAAAGAAAAAAAAAAAACCCAAAAACTTAAAGTTTATTCTCAGACTGATGAAAGGGTCAGTGCGTTTTCCAAATGTCAATTCCTATTATAAAACAAAACACGAAAGTGTGTGACTGAAATAACAAACAGATGCCATATTTAAAAAGTTATAGCAAAAAAGGGGACTTCAGGTCAAATAATGTAATCTTGAACTCACCTTCTTCTGTAGGATTAAACCCACAGATGTCGCAAATACAACGAACCCACTTATTCATCTCCTCCTCACTGTCTGCTACCAAGTAGAAAATCCGGTCAATAGTGTTGATGTCAAAGATGTAGCTGTTTTCGAACTCTTTTTTGTTAAATGTCAATCCGGCATCAACTTGTTGACATAAATTTAAATCGATGATACGGATAGGCTTCTTGGCATGATCATTTTTGTAATATTCCAAGACGTCCGGATCTCCAGTTAAACGGCCACTGCGTAACACAAACCATCTCCTCTTCCATGCCTGGGAACAAACCAGAATACCCGCTTAATATTCGTTTGAGAGAAATTTTTCAACAAGATGTCCGTCTGCTAAACTGATGTATAAATGCATCATCACAATGTGTGTGTGTGTGTGTGTTTTGGCCATAGGGTCACCTGCCACTCTGAAAAGCAAAGTTTACTAATGCCCCCACTAACTTAGCAATGTATAGGTAGTTAATTCTTCTATCACCTCTTCTACTATATAATATTAAGTCAAAAAATCAGGAAGGTTTGTTTTTTCATTACATACAAAAAAGTAATGGTTTCAACCAATGGTGCTCAGAGCCAGGCGCGGTGGCTCACGCCTATAATCCCAGCACTTTGGGAGGCCAGCTTGAGAGGATCACCTGAGCCCACAGGTTTGAGACCAGCCTGGGCAACTTGGGGAAACCTGTATCATAAATTTAAAAAATTAGCCGGGCATGGTGGCACATGCCTATAGTTCCAGCTACTTGGAAGGCTGAGGCAGAAGGATCACCTGAGTCCAACAAGTCGAGGCTGCGGTGGCTGTGAGCGTGCCACTGCACTTCAGCCTGGGTGACAAAATGAGACTCCAACTCAAAAAATCAAAACAGAAAAAATAACAAATGGTGCTCAGAAAACTGGACACCCACAGGCCAAAGCATGTAGCTGGACATTACACGAAGTGAAAAAAGTCAGTCACAAAAGGCCAAATAATGTATGCTTTTGCTTATATGAGGGACTGAGACCAGTTAAGTTCAAGGAGACAAAAAGCAGAATGGTGGCTTCCAGAGGCTGGGGGGAGCCATTGTTAAAAGGCATAGGGTTTCAGATGGAAAAAAGGTTAAAAAGTTCAGGAGATGGATGGCGGTTACTGAATATACAGAGAGTGCCAAAAAAAGTACAGTCCAGTGACATTTTAAGAAAGGAAAAAACTTATTAAAATTGTAATACTCAATGTATACTAATAGCAAAAGATGAATATAAGTAGACATATTTCACTTCTGCAATTACAAGAGGTGCTCAAAGTGGTTACCATCAGCATCCAGGCACTTCTGATTATAATGTACATTTCTTAAAACATGTATATACTTTTTTTGGGCACTGCTGGTATTTAATGTCACTGAACTGTACATACTTAAAGACAGCTTCAATGGTAAATTTCACGTTATATATATTTTACCACACTTCTTAAGAAAGCAATGGTTTTTCATGCCTTAATATCATGCTGTAAAAAAAAAATACACGTAAAGATGCTTCTTCATAAGACTTCTATAGATTTTAAACTATAGGTTTCTCTTTTTTATAGGGTTGGGACAAGGAGTAGGAAGGAGAAAAGAGTTCAGAAGCTTTCCTGGTTTCTCCTCTGGAAGCAAGGAATGGGCTGTCCTCCTTGTGGCCAGACGGCCTGTTGTTCAAAGACTACCCGAAGACGATCTATAGTCTTGACCACAGGATATCGCTTGTCGCAGTCTTTTGCCTTCTCTTCCTAACACACTCACATTGGCAATCTGGACCTGTATCCACCACATACTCCCTCCACAAGTTCTAGTCAATTTTGAGTTTAATACTATGCCTAGAAAAGTCTAAAATTCTTTTCCTCTCATCCTAAAATTTATCCCCATCAAATAACAAAAGCAGAGCCAAATGACAGTCTTTTCCACCAGGCTTTACTCCAACATCTATGCCTGGAAACCAACGTTAGTCTTACTCCTCTTTGAATTCCTTCCTCGGGGTGGTCAGCTCGATGGAAAAGAGCCCATCATAGCAAGCCTCAGTCATCTACCAAGAGACATTCTATGCGCCCAACTGAATGAACACTTGACGTAAGAGCGCCTCAAGAGGACACCCCAGGAAGTGGAAGGACTGAGAAACAAGACATTTCATGAACCCCGATGGAAGAAAACATTCTTACTGGTCACTATACATTTCTGCTCACTTGGAGACCATGACTGAGCACTAACAGTCATAGCATATCAATCCTTTACTTTTGGAAATGTGTAGCCAGCCATAGCATGTCTCTATTCCAGTGACAACTTGGGATAGTGTCAGCTTTACACTTATGGTGCTTTCAGAAATTTTCTTCATTATGATATGCAAGCTTGGGGCCCTCCAAACCGTCTAATCAGACCATGAATGCTCACATAGTCAGTACTGTTTTCCCAGCACATGACTTCTGTGTCTTCATTAACATATATATCAGTCTGTTTATAAGAAAATAGCAGCTGGGCATGGTAGCTCATGCCTGCAATACCAGTGCTTTGGGAGGCCGAGGCGAGAGGATTACCTGAGTGCAGGGGTTCAAGACCAGCCTGGGCAATATGGTGGGACCTCATCACTACAATAAATAAAAAAATTAGCTGGGCATAGTGGCATACACCTGTGGTTCCAGCTACTTGGAAGGCTGAGGCGGAAGGAACATCTGAGTCCTGAAAGTTGAGGCTGTGATGGCCTTGAGTGTGCCACTGTACTCCAGCCTGGGTGACAGAGTGAGACTCCAACTCAAAAACCAAACCAAACCAAACAGCAACTAAATTTAAAATCTCCAAAAGCAATATAGTATGACATGATAAGGTCTCTGTGTTTTTTTATATTTTATAAAATTTGGCATACATAACAAAAAGGATGGCAGTGCCCACTAAAAGTAACTTCACTTAGCTTTGAAAAATACATGTGAATTGAATCACTAAAACACACCCATACTTCTCCAATGGATGTATGGATGTTTAGCCTTTGTCTCCATCTTCACCAAATTTTGTAATAAATTCTGACATGAGTTGATTTTGAGAAGCAGTACTCTGATGGAGGGGCTAGGAAGCCATGACGACGGTTTGAGGCAAAGACAGAGAAAATGAAAACTACGAGGTTTCAGGGATCCATAAACCAGCCCATTAAATCTTTAAAAATTTGGACAACTGTACTGAATAATAACTGAATTAATTTGGGTGGTAACTTTAGGCTTAATATTTTAAATTATATCCATGCAAGAATATTTAGATACCCTGAGAAAGATCAATGAGTTAATCAGTCAATGGGTGATTGATTATATTATAAATACTGTGCTCCCTGTGGGAAGAAAGACAAGTTCAGGATTCATGACTCTGACCTTCAAGGAACTTAACCAATTGTGAAGAAATATTGAAAATACTTGAGGGTACAACTACCCTGGCAAAATATCAGTAGAACTACCACTAAGTAGACAGGTCTTTCTTTATGGAAAAAAACTGTGCAATCTTTTTTTGTTTGTTTTTTTGAGTTGGAGTCTCATTCTATCACCCAGGCTGGAATGCAGTGGCACGCTCACTGCCACCCCAGTGTCGACCTGCTGGGCTCCAACTGCCTCAGCCTTCCAAGTAGCCGGAACTACAGGCATGTGCTACCATGCCTGGCTAATTTTTGATTTATTATAGAGACGAGGTCTCGCCGAGTTGCCCAGGCTGGTCTCAAACCCGCAGGCTCAGGCAATCCACTCCCCTTGGCCTCCCAAAGTGCTGGGATTACAGGCTGAGCCACTGAGCCCAGCCTATACAATCTTTTAACAAGAAGATTACTAGAGAAATCACAAAGCCCTAGAAAGAGTATGCAATTCTGTAATATCTTCAATGTTTTAAGTTAATTTCTCAATTGACTGCAGTTAAAAAAATAAATAATTGGTGTCCAGAAGGAGACGGTAAGGTAGAGACCTATAGATGTTTGGGAGAATATTGAAAAGTCAAAGTGTTGGAGTCGCACGATAAAAGCACTGGCTCTGGATTATAAAAATATATTCACTTAGTACATATCTACTTACTTCAAAATAAATAAGCATCATCTCTTAATAAAATTGCGCCTCTATGAATACTTCCCTATCAAGTGGTAAGCTTGAAAAGTGATGGGGAAATAAAAGGAAAAGAATACAGGTTGGGTGTAGTGGCTCACATCTGTAATTTCAGCATTTTGGGAGGCCAAGGTGGGAGGATCATTTGAGACCAGGAATTTGAGACCAGTCTGGGTAACACAGTGAGACTCTGTCTCTATAAAAAAGAAACAAATTAGCAGGGCAGAGTGGCATGCGCCTGTGGCGTCTGTAGTCCAGCTGCTCAGAGATGGGGGTGAGAAGATCGCTTGGACCCAGGAGGTCGAGGCTGTAGTGAGCCATGATCGTGCCACTGCACTCTAGTCTGGGCAACAAAATGAGAACCTGACTAAAAAACAAATAAATAAAGTAAATATAGAATGCCATTTATCCAAGGCCATCAAGGGATCCTATCGTTTAGTAAGTGATTTCTCCAGAAGATTCCACCTTTAAATACAGAAATGACTTTTTAAAACTCTAATGTCTTGCATGGAAATCTTTCTAAAATGCCTTACTGCATAATTCATTGAACATAATACATCCATTCCCTCGATGGTTCAGGCTAAGTATTATAGGCATCAATTCTCTATTGCACTTCAGTTTCTCGGAGGCTGTTGGGCTGTATACGAAATAGTGCCATCCTGTTGTGCTTGTATAGTTCATCCGTAATCTTTTAAATACAACTCTCTGTCTGTTTTTCTCTTAGGTTTGTCAATTGTCACTTCACCCTTCCAATAATATGGTTTCTAGGAGGTTAAACTCTTTTCTACCTCAGGTTTTTTGCACAGGCTGATTACTAAGTCCATTACGTTCTTTTCCCCAGTCTTTGCTTGACAACTCCACTCTTCAGGCCTTCCCTTCCCTGACCATTCTCCACCCAGCTACCCCAGCACAGTTTTAGAGACCCTATTACTTCTGCACGTAGTCATTTGTACAACTTTGCAATTCAGTTTTCTTTGTATTTATTTGTTTGGCATCTAACGCCCTATGCAGACTGAAAAGTCCAAGAAGACAGTGGCCATGTCGGCTTTATTTGCCATGACACACCCAATGCATAGCGTGGCACTTGGCACATAGAAATATGTGTGCAATAAATAAGTAGAATTCCCCTAAGGGAATATAGTTGTAACATTTTTGAGAATATTGGGATTTGATCTATAGGTCATGATGAAGAGAAACCTCTT